CACATACTGAAAAGCCTACTGACCCGCTGCCAGTGTTGTGCCATGTCTGTGTGATTTTAACCACAGGCAAACCAAAGACCATTACATTATGTCTCCTTAGACTTCAAAGTGCAAAGGAGGGGTTACAAGCGGATAGTGCGAGCTATGAAAAAAATGTTTTATTATTCTAATGATTACAGCAGTAAAGACACGAGCCTTTGAGGACTGGCGTTTGGTCTTTTCCTGACAGCTGAGACAGACATTTTCCCCAGTGTTATCTCTCACAACAGGAACAGACGCTGTCTCCAGCCTTCTTTTGTGGTCTACAGTGAAATGTTGTATCAATAATACACCAAGACAGTATACAGGGGGTATGAATTATTGAAAGGCACGCTGGTTCGGCTGGGGTTCTAATCTCCACAGAGCAGTTAATTTGATGTTCTTGTTTTTCTGTTTTGGAATCAACCTGCAATGCACCATCCCTGCAAATATCACAGGCAGAGAGAAGCAGGCCACTGGGAACTAAATGAATGATCTACTGATGCTAATGTCCTCTGCCAGCCGAGGTCTTGCTTAATAAACCTCAAGATGAGACAGCCGTGTGAGAAATAACATGATAAAAAGTAAGCCTCGTCAATTCAAGCCCACACACCTGAAAGTGCGGCTGATAATGACAGTGGAATTAGTAATGAGGATGAGTGAAGGTGCATTCGTCCATTTAGGGGCTACAAAGGCTTAAGGGTTATGCTTTGTAACCTGAATCAGGGCTCTGGAGTGAATATCAATATCTTAGGCAGGCAGCTGATTAGTGGGAAATGTTCAATCAGCAGAGTGTGAGACTCTGATCTGACTTTTAATTTATCTCGTTTAAAAAGTCATGTGCTGGTTTTCACAGCAGGTGCATCCAGACCAATACCCAGCATTGTTTGGGATATTATCAGCCAGCTTAAGAGTCAACAAACTGGTCAATAAATAAAATGGCATTATCTCCCAGTCACATCAGGACAGGGGAACTAGAGTCTCAGACTTTCTAATTAGTCGTTCTTATTTTGTCATAATCTGTTTGAATCTGTTGAAGGGACGCTCAGCTGACAGCGGGGGACTTAGAGGGAAATTTGCTCTAGTGAAATGGCTTTGCTGCTATGAGCATGATAGCTGCAGATATTTTCAAACAGCTGCAAGCCAAATGTGCCCTTTTTTTGGACTGCACAGAGGGGAGAAAAAAGATTCATTTTTTCAGTTCTCATATTTCCTTAAATGGTGAGATGAAGATGTGTGAAATGTTAAATGAAAAGTAAAATGAAAAATATCCACCGTTTTTACAAATTTTCAGGTTATGCTCAGTTTTTTCCAGTTAAAAATGTGATTAGTCGTATAATCTGTGTATGAAATTAAAAGCAGATAGAAATCGGAGAAATTAGAAAAATGTATCCTAAGTTTGAATTTGATACTTTCCCAAAAGTCTGTACAGGGGCTGACAACCAATACATTTCTTTATGTTAAAAAGACACCTGGTACAACATCTCACTTTCAGTTAGCTTATTAGATGAACAGGTTACATGAATGTTTATAAAAATCATCCCAGAGAGGCTGAATTTGTCTAAAGTAAAGATGGGGAAGGGTTCAGCAACTTAGGTTTCTCGTGGTTCTCATTTGTGGTACGTAATGTTATCTAAAGTTTCAGAGAACCCAGAGAAACCCAGGGAAAAGGCTGTAAACCAAGAGTGAATCTTTGGGCCCTCAGACAGAACTGGGTTAAACATAAACATGTTTCTGCACTGGAAATTACTGTGTGAGCACAGGGACACTTCTAAAAACTGCTGAGTGTAAACACAGTGTGTTTGTTTCAACAAATATAAGTTAAAACTCTACCATGCAATTACATAAAAAACATAAAGATCCAAAACCAGCTGCTGTCCCTTGTCCATAGATCAGTTAAGATGGGCTAAGTTGAGGTGAAAAACGTATGTGGTGTGTGGTCCTTTTTGGAAATGGTATATTATTCACAATAACTATTACCATCACCATCACTGATTGTGACCTACACCCGTTTTCACACCTTGGCTCGTGTGATTAGGTAGAGGATCATTAGGGGGTCCATTGTCCCTCTTAGGGGGACACTCCCACAGGGCTTAAATCTCCACCATTTGACCCCAGAACTGAAGAAGCTTCTTGGATGAGAGGTGAAACATCTTCAAGAAAACAAGTCAGGAAGCTTTTCTTTCCAAGCGCTTTAAAGTACCATGACCTGGATGATTGAGAACCTTCACAGACACAATAACTATTAAAAGCATGAAGAAAGAAGAGATCTAATACCGAAGAAAAAGACTGGGAAGCGAAATTTTGCTTTTAAAAATAAACCAGCTGATCTCCACAGTTATGAAGAACAGAGGTTTCTAAAAAGAGGTGATGCAGCAAAATTGCAAACATGCCCCTGCACTTTAAAAAATGCACGTTTTTTCAAACAATAGCATTTCTCAGTACTATTTGTGAAGGCTCAAACACTGCCGCCCCAATATGACAAGTCGTAGCACTTTTAAAATCAGCCTTATGTGTTTTTGTGTGTATTTAATTTACTGATCAATTAAGAAATGGAATAATTGAGTTAAAATAAGAAGAGCAATTCACAGAAAAAACAAAACAAACAAACAAAAAACATTCCTATTTTCTTACAAATTGGAACAAATATGTCAAAAACAAAATAAAAATCAGGCTATCAACTGATTTGTTAGCAAAACTAAATTGTGATCTCTGTTTGATTTCATTACAGTACCTTACTTGTGGTACTTGGGCTATTTAGAAGTAGAATGGGTAGCAGAGCCTTCAGCTGCCTGACCCCTCTTCTGTAAAGCCAGCTCCCAGTTTGGATTCACACTGGATCAGGTGACCCTGAACCCTCCATTAGCTTTGTTCCAATAGCTCTAGACTGCTGGAGTATTTCATCTTCACTCATCTTTTTTCACTCACTATGTGTTTATACTCTGTGTGTTTAATTAGTTTTTATTCATTTCTAGCTCTCTTTCACAATGTAGGATTCTTCCCATCAAAGAAGAGTTTTTCCTTCCTACTGTCGCCAACTGCATGCTTATGGGGGACCCTTGGAGTTTTCTCCATGTCATTGTAGGATCTTTGCCTTACAATATAAAGTGCCTTGCAGTGTGTGCTTTGTATGGATTTTGAATGAACAAATGTGTGACCACAGATTGCGTTTTGGCAATTACATGGTAGTAATATGTGTAATTTTTTATTTACTGTGATTTGTGATGAATAAGTTGTCACTTCAGTCTAAACCTATAAAATCTGTCAAAAATCTTTTATTTAAATGTCAATTTTATTACGATCCTGCATTGTAAGTCCTCTTGATGAATAAAAACTCAAATCTCTCTTTCTGCTGTAATCAGTGTTACACAAAAATACGTGAAACAAGACCTTTTCTTCAACCCCAACCTACACATCCTCCAACACTATCAGAAGCAGCTTGTCTTTAGCTTCCTTGTGGCAGAAGGAATTTGCATCAATGGCCACATAACATGCAATGGCATGTAATGTCCCCACAGCTCGGTAGTAGATGCCAGTGGCACTGTGATGTACGTTCAATTTCTCTGCTGAGGATGATGTGAGGTGACAGTGGATTTGGTCAGGATTGGTGTGACATGCACTCTTTGAGCAGGGGCCCATCTTCCATAAAAGCAGCAACAAATAACATTTCCTCTTTCTCTGCACCTGCTGACGAATCTAAAGACTCTTTTTTTTTTTCTGTCAAACACAGAAAGCTCAATGCAGTGCATGTGAACTTGCAAGCAAACTCTCTGGTTAGAAAAGGGAACATGAAATCAGATAGATTATAAAAAGAATCCAAATTGGGGTTATGGATAAACAATATGCAACAGTTAATGGAAATTGGCGGCGAAATAGTGTCCTGATAGACTTCCTATTTTAAACAATCTGTTCTTCTGTAGCTTGAATTTGCTTCATTTTTCATGCAAATTATTCTGTAAAAGTGTATAAATCGTGTCACTCTTCATGTTGTACACAGACATTTAACATTTAAATCCCATTTACTAAAAATCTTCACACAGTGAGACCTCAGGGAAGTCTGCCTTTCTAAATCTATAAAGCAACAAATCCTTCAAACACCCTGGTGCATTTGACAGTGTTATCTGCAGTGTAAGTAAATTAAATCAAGCTTCCCCCGCTTTTAGAAAACTCATGCAATATTTGCTAGATTGAACTGCAAATTCTCATGACTAGAATTTGTAGCAGGGAAAAAATACACACAAATGCTGGAGCCTGTTGTCAAGCTGCTGCATTTAAAATATATTTGAAGAGAGGGATTATTCCTTTAAAGAGGGAGAAGCCCACTACAAGTGCAAGAGCAACAGATGCACAAGGCTGCAACAGATGTGTAAATCAGCCCTCATGAATAAGTCAAAAATCTCCTTTTTTATTATGTCGAAACTTTGCCGTACAGATTAAACGCGCGACTATCCTGCTTCTCCACAAGCTGCAGTTACATGTGTTCAGATTTATATTTAGAGGCATAAACCATACATGCCTGAAAATGTTTTTATTTTATTTTGATAGTAAGCTGTTGTGCTCAGGACATCACCGGGCATCACTCAGTCTTAAGGCTTATCCATTACAGTAAAGAAACTCTGCCCTCCGGAGCAAACTGATGAGTCAATGGGAATTTGTTTTGTTGTTATAAACCTTTTGCTCCCCGTTGCCCTGAGGTCACAAAAACTCATTAAGGATATATAAATGGCCACGAGTGTTCAGTGAAAGCCCTGTCCGAGTAACTATCTCTGAGCATACATGTGGGAAATAAATAGAAAAGGACAAGCACATGTTTAAGCAGATTGCTGCTTTCTTCGACTTTTGCATGACAGAAAAGCATTCACAAACAAAATCCATTACTATTAGCTCTGCTCTTGGAAACAAATGAGCATGGAGCCATACAAAGCACAGAGAAAGTGCTGCCTTACAACCAGTGCACATCAGGAGCTAATGATATTACTCACCCGGTTCTTTGTGGTCAGAGCTGTGGCCAGACAATAGGAAAAGGAAATCCTGACAGGTGTCCTGATCCAACGATGTGCTGTTGTGCAGGCAGAGGTCAACAATTAGGGTCACAGCTCTCTGACAGACCATGTCATACTCCTCTCTGTCAGAACTCATGCTCCCAGCTGCATCCTCAGCCGCGTGTGCTCATCCAAGGGGACCAATACTCCCACGCACACACGCAGCAGGCTGGCATGCAGAAGATAAATGCAACTTGTCTCCGTCCTAGGCTGATTCTTCTCCTTCTTCTGCCGTCTCTCGAATGTGTGTGCATGTTTTCTTGTGTGCGTGCATGCGTGTGCTTCACTTTCTTTGTGTGTTCATGTGTGTAAGCTTGTCCCAACATTGTGTGTGCGTGTGTGTAAGATGGACCAATATTTTTTAGTGCATAAACATGTGGTGTTTGTGCTGCTCCTCATGTGTCCATGTGTGTGTGTAACTGTGTTTTGTAGACTTAATTAATCACATTTATCCCCATGTGTTATAAGCGCAGAATGATTGCATCACATTGACAGCGGGAAAGCAAGTCAAACAACAAACACTGATTTCAGTCAAACCTGCGTACTGTATACTATAAAATGTCAGAGCTTGATGACACCTTCAAGCCCCCTCACCTTTGGCTGTTATGCCACCACACATTCGTTGAGTGTGAACAGACTTTTAAAAAACCCACAAGACTTGTTTTTCTCAAGTTGTCTAACATGGCTGGTCCCTGCAGGTCAGAGACTCCCCTGACACGAATTTCCCCTGAGCTGAACCACCTGTAACCACCAGGTCTCAGTCCCACAGACAATCCCCTATCGGTTCAACTGTGATCCCTTAATGACCTGTAATGATGATGGTTCAGCTCTTTGTGAGTAAGCAGGGCTCCATATAATGTGTTCAAATGGTTACTTTACTGATACGAACTCATGCACTGTTTATACTCTAAAATACAAACTCAAATAGCCAGCAGTTTATACAGCTAGAGTTTCAGCTGCCACCATGTTTGGAACCAGAAGTGATCATATTTATGTGGAGTGATGTGTTATCAGCGAAACTGCTACTGAGCTTGGTTAGCAAGATATCTATAAACTGTGCACAAAGCAGATACCAGTGGAGTAGTAACACAGTATTCATTTCACACTAAAAATTATACAAAACTGAAGCTCAAACTTTTGGACTTACTGTGCCTCTCAGCAAACAAAGTGTTTATTGTCATATGTACAGAAGAAATAGCATTTCTCTATGCAATGAAGTTCTTCCTTTGCTGTCCATACAGAAATGCCAAGTAAGGTAAGGGTTAAAAGAACATGATGAATAAAGATAAAAAATAAGGATAAAAAATAATGGAAGATTAATAAGTACAAAAATAAGTAAGTCAAGACAAGTGAGGTATGCAGATGTCGATGTAGATGGATGTACAAAGGAGCTTAATGTGCAAAATGAACTTAGTGTGCAAAGTGTCCTGATGTGCAATCCAAGTTATCTGATCCAAGCTAATATTTCAATACTGAATAACTATAACTCAATAAATATCTAGTTGTGGATGAAAAATGTTTCCAAAATGAAATTGTGTTGACATCAGAGGCATACCATTGCCATTTGTTGCATACCCTTCGTGCATGTTTGGATGTCCTCCTTGGATGCTGGAGTCAAAACCCCTTTGAATAGAGAATGCTTGGCAGATTTATTAGACCATCTTTCTTAAAAACTATAAAAACACAAATATTTTAAAAATCTCTTAAATGCATGTTTTAACTGAAAACAAATTAATTCACCTTTTTATACTTTTTAGTCGAAAGTTAATCAAGCATAACATTCAGCTACTCAATCAAATCCTTCTGTTCAGGAATTTGCATCTTATTTAAGACTATTTTTCTGCTTTTTGTAAAACAGAGTATTTGTAAATGCATGCATAACAACAATATTTTATTTTATCACTGAAAATATTGTGTTCATTACACTTTGTATATACTGATGGATTAATACAATACAATACAATTCAAGTTTATTTATATAGCACATTTAAAACCAAAGGTACACCAAAGCGCTTCACAGCAAGATTAAAACATCACAGATATCAGACCATAACAGGGAACAAATAAACTTACAAGGGAGAAACGCTAGTTAAACAATCAATACAGATAAAATAGGAAATAAAACATCTGAGCACTGAGTATTTGTAAATATAAGGTGGGGGTATTTATACAATGATACATAAAATAGAAGATAAATAACATAGGGATAAATATAGGGAATGAGCACAAACTAACCGAAAACACTTGCTCAAACAGGTAAGTCTTTAACTGTGATTTAAATGAATGGATGGAATCAGAGGCGCGAATAGCTGCAGGAAGACTGTTCCAGAGGTTAGGGGTTGCCAGGGCAAAAGCACGGTCACCTCTGGTCTTTAGCCGGGACCTAGGCTGCACTAGGAGTAATTGTCCTGATGATCTTAGGGCTCTCCTAGGGGTATACGGACTGAGGAGTTCAACGAGATAGCACGGCGCAGTATTGCTCATGATTTTAAAGGTAAGCAACACAATTTTAAACTCAATGTGGTATTTGATAGGAAGCCAATGCAGGTCAGCAAGGACTGGGGTAAAAGAGGCAAACCTTCTGGTTCCAGTCAAAAGTTGTGCCGCAGCATTCTGGACAAGCTGCAGTCTATGAAGAAGGGCAGAGTGGAGACCAAAGTAAAGGGAATTACAGTAGTCTAATCTAGAGGTCACAAAAGCATGGATAAGCACGGAGTAGGACCTATCCGAAAGATACGATCTAAACCAGTTGAGGGCACTACCCCTTATGCCTACTGTATGTTCAAGCCTCATTAAGAGGATATTATGGTCCGCGATATTGAAGGCAGAAGTCAAGTGCAATAGAACTAAGACCGTAGAGCACCCTGAGTCAGCAAATAAAAAAAGGTCATTAAGGACTCTCAGCAGCGCTGTTTCAGTGCTATGGCATAGTTTAAAGTCAGACTGGAATTTATCACTGATATTATTTGCATCCAAGCAGGCCTACATCTGCGAGAGGATTATCTTCTCCAATATTTTAGACAAGAACGGGAGTTTGGAAATTGGCCTGTAATTTGCAAGGTCCTTATGATCAAGGTTAATGTTTTTTTAGGACGGGCTGTACTACTGCATGTTACCAAATTAACATCACAGCATGTCTTTCATCCTGTCTTCCTTCTCTCACCCCAGCCAGTTGCAGCAGATGGCCCCGCCCCTCCCTGAGCCTGGTTCTGCCGAAGGTTTCTTCCTGTTAAAAGGGGGTTTTCCTTCCCACTGTCGCCAAAGTGCCTGCTCATAGGGGTCATATGATTGTTGGGTTTTTCTCTGTATGTATTATTGTAGGGCCTATCTTACAATATAAAGCTGTTGTTGTGATTTGGCGCTGTATACTTAAAATTGAATTGAATTAGAAACATAAAAAATTATTTCTTCAGCATAGCAGAACTGTTAATTTAGGGCAGCTGTGGTATAAATCTTACACTGGGTCGTAGTCTAATAAATATAAGCACTATATCCATGTTGAATGAAAGAAAAATATTCTCTCGTGAGAAGAATAGAGATTCTTAAAAAGGCAAAATTGTAACCTTCCTCAGAAATTAATCTTTTAGCCCAGTGAGGTGATTAAAAATCAGAAGCTGCACCATTTGGATGAGAGGCAAAGGCGTTGGAAGGCTAGGAAGTAAGTTAATCATATAACAGATGAGACGGAATTCACATGTAATGAAAATTACCTACATTTAAAAAAAAAAAAAACATGCTTCTGGTTATAGTCTGGAGGGGATGTTATGTGGTTGTCTGATCATAACAGTAACCAAATACTTATCAGGAGACACAAATCCCTGAGAGGATTGCATCAGGAACAGCATCTGGCAAAAAAATCAGATCAAATATGGTGCTCCAACTGCCTTGAAGGGAGCAGGCGAAAGAAGCGTAATCTACTGCAGAAATATGAACAGCGCTTTTTCCCCTGGAAGCAGCTCTGTGATTGGACCACTACATGGAAACAATGTCAATATCTGCTTGTCTACAGTACATTTGCCGTAAAAAATGTAACAAGTTTGACCAGGAAGACAATATCTGCTTGACTCAGCCACTGTTTGTCAAGTAATTTTATTATAATGTTCTAAATGGCACCAACAATACCAATTAATCCAGTTCAGAGACTCAAATTAACAGAGGTAACGCCCATCAGACATGAAATGACTGCACCTGCTTCTGTTAAGACATGCGGAGATGTAATCAATCTCCTACTGATGAAGTTGTTAGCCTTTTTTGTTTGTTTGTAGCAGGTCATGCTTATTTCTGCAGACTGATTTCCTGAAGAACTGCAGTTTTGGGCACTTTGTTTAATTTTTCAGAAGGCTGATTGTTGTTCATACGTTGCCAGTTTTTTGAGGTATAGAGTAGCATAATGTTCTGTAATTTTCTCCACCCTGGGTATATCAATGAAAGTAACACAAACCTCTGTCTTTATAATGCAAATCACATATATGCAAAAAGCTGAATCAGCTCTTCTCGTAATCTGCTTCAGGCAAAAACTGAGCGTTACTGTTGAGCTATACTGCATTACTGTGTCACATGTACCAAAGCAGCAGAAATAGCTAAGGCAAGTTTATGTTTGTTTTATATATGATTGAGCACAACTTTGCAGGCTGTGTAAAGCTGGGAAATTGCCTTAATATGTCTGTCGGGACCTTGCAGCCAATGAAGCTCAATAAAACACATCTCTGATCTCTATGCTATTTTTCCCCAATCCTCTGAGGATTTATCTCAAATTAATTCTCATATTGTAACTGATTAGATGTATTTATTTTCAAATTAAAGCAGTGAAGAAGAAGAAGAAACTAATTAGCTTGACTTTTCCTCTAAATTACGTTGAACTATATGTGAACTTCCTTGAACTTATCCCTTAATTATGTTCTTACCAACTTAACCGTTAATCAAAGTAATTTAATAAACTCTGTGATGACTAAGGCCTCAGAAAAATTATTTCATGCCTATCTAATCACAGTATGATATTGAGTTTAACCAGATGTTGTTTGACTCCCATCCTTAATCGAGTTTAACCAGGGCATAAATACTACGGCATCTACATCGGTGGACTATTCTTCTGAGATAGCTAAGGTAATTGGGGGCTTATCAAAGTCTCTCTCCTCTGTCCCTCAAAGGTTGGATCTGGAGTCTACTGTGCTTCCTGTTTCTGTAAGATTGGATCTGTTCTTCTTGAGTGATCCTGATTAACAGG